AGGAAGCAGCCCACCCACACCCTCCAGACCTCACCACGCCTGAGCCCCCCCAACCCCCCACCTCCATCCACCCTACAGAGGCTGTGAAAGTGTCGTCACTTCCCTATACAGGCAAACGGGGAAGGCCTATAAGGAAAAGGGACTGTCTGCCCCGCCAAAATGATGAGTCCTTCCATCCGTCCAGCTAGAACTGGAAAACACACACACACACACACACACACACACACACACAAAATCATCAGACCCAAGTAGATTCACTAGAGAATTCCTTTTTTTTTTTTTTGCTTTTTTGCTTTTTGGGTCACACCCAGCAATGCACAGAGGACAGAAGTTACTCCTAAGCCCTGCACTCAGGAATGACCCCTGGTGGTGCTCAGGGACCCATATGAGATGCTGGAAATCGAACCCGGGTCGGCTATGTACAAGGCAAATGCCCTACCCACTGTGCTATCGCTCCAGCCCCTCACTAGAGAATTCTTACACTAATTATCTGGAGTATTCCAAACACCAGAAGGGTGTGAAATAGCACAGCTCACTCATTATGCAAAGCGAACTTTGGCCTCTTGAAAGGAAAAACGATGCAAAAAGGCGGCAGTTATGGAGCAAGGCAGAACTCAGCATAGTTCCAAGAGGCTATGGAAAGCAACGGAGAACCCAGCACAGTATCAAGAGGGACTTCACAGCGCAGCTGACCAAATGGGGCTCATTCTAGAGACACAAAGCTGCTCACTGTCTGACACAAACCCACGTCCTCTGTCTCCCCAAACCGTCTGAATCGAATAAACAAGTTTAATAATAATCATTTTCAAAAATAAAGAACCCGAGGGAGACATGATTAAATATACAAAACCCAACTGAGGTCAGAGAGGTGGTCCAGTGAGTGAAACACCCACGCTGCAGGAGGCTGAGCCGGGTTAACCCCCAGCCTCGCCAGCTAGGACCCAAGTGCAGAGCCAGGAAGCCCCGAGCACACCTGGGGACAGCCCAGTAGCCCCATGGTGGGACCCTGAGCCTCATGTCTGAGCACGAGAGGCTGGCGGCGTGGCTGCAGGCACCGGGGCTGGAGGGGCTGGGCTAGCGGCCGCCTCACCAACTCTGCATGGGTGAACGGAAGCATCGTTGATGTATTCTCTGAGTCTGGCCCGGCACCTCCGCAGAGCACGGGCCCCAGAGCTGCAGGGGTGCGCCAAGTTCCCACCATGAGGGCATGAGAGGGCAGCTGGCGGGGGGGCCCAGCAACTTCCCTGCCGGCCGGGCGTCCCTGCCACGCCTAACGCCACTGCTGCTTGCTTGGCCCGCAGCCTGTCACGGAGGGAAACCTCGCCCAAGTCCTCCAGCTCACTGAGCTCCGACCCCCTGGAGACCAGACCCGAGGACGAGGGCCAGTGCCCCCTGCCCAGGCTCTATTGGATGGCAGCCCCGGAGCACCTGAGCTGTACACAGCTGTCACTCCAGCTGCTGCCACTGTGGAGCCCAGAGACCTAAACCTGCCAAGCGAGAGCAACAGCCAGCAACAGCCCCAGGTGCCCTCGGGCTTCCTGATGCCCCCAAATCGCGGTCAGGCCTCCAGTTGGCCTCCATCAACTCAGGACCAAGTTTTATGAGAAGTCAAACTGCCAAAATTTAGGTGTGTGGGAGCCGCGCCCATAAACCACCTCGAGCACCGCTATGGAAGCTCATCTACCAGCCTTGCTCCAGAGACGCAGAAATAAATCTCAAAAGAAATCAATAGTGGGCTGGAGCAATAGCACAGCGAGGAGGGCATTTGCCTTACACGCAGCCAATCCGGGTTCGATTCTCAGCATCCCATATGGTCCCCTGAGCACCGCCAGGGGTAATTCCTGAGCGCAGAGCCAGGAGTAACCCCTGTGCATCTCCAGGTGTGATCCAAAAAGAAAAAAAAAAAAAATAGAGATCAACAGGGGCTGGAGCAACAGTACAGCGGGGAGGGCATTTGTCTTGCACGCGGCTGACCCAGATTCGATTCCTAGCATCCCATATGGTCCCCCAAATACTGCCAGAAATAATTCCTGAGTGCAAAGCCAGGAGTAGCCCCTGTGCATCGTCGGGTGTGACCCAAAATGGGGGGAAAGAAAAAAAAGAAAACAGAGAGAGATCAACAAGCCACAGGAAAAAAAATTGGGGGGCACCACACATGGCTGAGACATTCAAAGGGGGTGGGCTAGCCCAGTGCCCACCCAGGCAGAGCACACCACAAACACTTGCTCTCACGATCTAAAATCACTGCCGGCCAGACTCATCTGAGGACAGACCTCACTGAGAAATTAACCTGCTGAGAATTCAAGGATGAGGGATTTGTGACTAAAATCTGAGGGCTTTCTCAGAGTTGGGAAGGGCTACCTCCCCCAATTTCCCTGTACTTCCAGAAGCCCTCTGCAATCATGTCCACACCCAAAAGCTGCCACTCAGTTAAAAAAAAAAATCAATGACAGTAGCTGCCTGATAAAAATTCTGAACTTCCCGGTATCTCAAACTCTACAACACTGATAAGCCAGTAGTAGAACACCAAATGGGAGAAGGCAATCAATCTCGATTAAGATAAACACAGAAGGCTTAACCTGCAACAACACCTTAGTAATCTCTCATGTAAGGACTTAATGTCTCCATGATAAGACATTGGCCCACGGTTGGAAGCCTGCCTCAAGTGCTGGGAGAGGATGCAGTTTGGAAAGAGAAGGGACTACGGTGTCAACAAAGATCACCTTAGATAAGAACTGCATGCTGAAAGTAGGTACAAGAACAAGCATGATACCCTCTCGGTGTCTGTGTTGTAAACCATAATGAGAAAGAGGGAGAGAGAGAGGGAGAGAAGAAAAGTACCTATCACATACGACTGAAACTCAATTCATGAACAGCTTTGGAACTGTGTATCTCATGGTGACTCAATAAAAGGAATTTAATTAAGAAGGAAAAAAAAGCTTCGCACCTTCTGCGAAAATCAACCCAATATGTGCCACAAACAAATGTAAACCCTAAATGACAGATCTTTTTTTTCTTCGGTGGGGGTGGGGCGGAGGTTTCAGGCTCTCGAGTGGAGACGGATGGAATGCGCTCCATGTGGCCCGGTGTTCGCGCTTCTAAGGAGAGGCAGGAGACGAAAGAGAAAAACCAAGACGCACCAACAACACAGCCACGGGCAGCCTGGCACTTGGTACCCCCGGACTCTCCACACGCCACCAATACAGGATCTTGGGGCCAAGGAGACTGCGGGGAGACACAAGGGCAGCCTAGGCCGGCTCACTGGAGCACACACGGCAGAGCCGGTGTGAAGTCTTCCTAAGACATACGCCCTAGCAGGTGGGGCAGGGTACCTGTCCCGTGGGCCCCCCATCCAGATGTAAGGAGGAAAGGCCAAGGGGAAGACAGCTGGTGTGCCGGGCCCTGCGGCCACACTTCGAGTCACAGCACGCCGGCAGCGGACAGGGCTCAGGTCCCGCTCGGACCCGGAAAACCTCCTGTGGGCGGGGCCTGGGTGCTGGGTTGGGGCTACCCCGCGGCAGGGCGTGGCAGGCTGGGAAGGGCAGTGCTCCTCTCAGCAGGGAAGCCCACACATCTGGACGAGTAGGGGGGCAGGCAGCGCCCAGGGACCGAAGGCGGCCAGGGACCTCGGAGAGGCGGGTGGCCGCGCGGAAGGATGAGGGCACCCAAGCGCAGATGCCAGAGGGCACAGTGCCCTGCTGCTGTGTCTGTGGGCTGCTCTGGGCTAGCCTGATCCCAGGAGGGCCACATGGCGCTGCCCGCAGAACACAGCAGTCAGCGACCAGCGCGTGCTTACCGTCCAGGGGCAAGAAGGAGCCCTCGTTCCTAGCCAAGGGAGCCCGGAGACCACCACGCTGGTAAAGACAACTGCAAAGCCAACAGAGTGGGGGACAGGCCGGGGTCCTGCCCACGCAGTCACGGCTGCGCCAGGCCAACACCAGACAAGGGAGGTACGGCCGTCCCCACCAGGGCAGAAGGGGGTGGGCGCCACGGATGGGTGGGGGAGAGAAGTCACTGGAACGTGTCACCTTCGATGAGGCTCGGGTAGGGTATTTGCCTTGCACTCGGCTGACCCGGGTTAAATTCCCAGCAACCTATATGGTCCCCCAAGCACTGCCAGGAGTAATTCCTGAGTGCAGAGCCAGGAGGAATCCTGTGCATCACCAGGTGTGACCCAAAAGGCAAAAAAAAAAAAAAAACCCAGACTCACACTCCAGCAAAGAACTTGCCACACTGGTAGCCCTGGGGACACCATGTCCCACCCATGGTATCGGCCTCTCAGCAAGGGCCACAGGTGGGGATGGAGAGGGATGACCCAGTCTGCCAATAAGGGCACGTGACCACAAGCTCCCTAAATGCTGCCTCTGACCGGTACCTGAACCCACGTCCTGGGCCAAACGAGAGCCGGGGAAGGGGTACGCCACCCATGATTCTAGGTCGACGGGGCTCTTTGTTCAGAGCAGAGGTCCGAGGGTGCGACGCCGCCAGGGATGCACCCACAAAGGCTCAGGGAGCCACGCGCTGCTGGGCCTCAAGCCTGCGCCGGGCACCGTCCGTCACCTGACCAATCACAAGACCATTTCCTGCCGGGGTTCAAGTCTCTCCAGGTCTTCACACGCCCCACCTCTCAGCCCTGTACTCTTACAGACAGAAAGGCTGCCCACCAGACGAGGGCTCCCAAGGGGCGTCCATGGCCCCCACGCTGCACCCCAGAGGAGGAAGAAGGAGCCGAAGAGCGAGCCCCGCCCTGAGGCAGGAGACCCCCCAAGTCCCTGCGTGTGCTGGGAGCACAGGGCAGCGGAGCGGCCCCGAGTGACCAGGGTCTCGGGTCAGACCTACGTTTCGAAGACCCCACGCACCCACCCCATGGGGTGACATCCCCCCGCCCGCTAGCAATGCCACCCACACGCCCTCCGTCATGCACCCCAGCCGGCGGCCCCCAGCCCCGCAGTGCCCTGGGAGACCCCCTCCCCCGTCCCGCCAGGCGGAAGATACTCTACTTGTCCACCGGCGTCGGCCGCCTGCTGGAAGTGGGTGGCCAGCGCCGTCTCGTCCTGGAAGACCTCATTGCACTCCAAGCACTTGAGGCTGTGCCTGCACAGCTTGGACGGGTCCTCGTCCAGGGGCATGGCCGGCACGATGGGGGTGCTGGACGGGGCCGAGATGACCGTCCCGGTGATGCCCGACTGGATCTTGGGGGCCGTGTGTGGGACGCCTCCGCCGTTCCCGGCGCCACCACCACCACCGCCGCCGCCGCCACCCACCGACGCGGGGACAACCGGGGTGGTGCCGGCCACCGTGGTCACCGTGGCCGCCCCCGCCACCGCCGCCGCCCCCCCACCCGTGGCCGACACGGACACCACCACGTTGGCGCTGGGCGGCGTGCTGGCGGCGGCGGCGGCGGCAGCGGCAGCGGCCACGGCGGCGGCGCTGCTGGCTGGGGACACGGTCATCTGGTCGGCGGGCACGGGCTTGAGGATGAGGTGGGAGCACTGCATGACCACGCCCTTCTCCTTGTGGCCGCGCGCATGGAACAGGAGGCTGCACTTGTTGTAGAAGACCAGGTTCTTGGTGCAGTGGTTGCAGGTGACCTCAATGCGCACGCTGCGCCGGTCATAGTGCTGGGACAGGCTCTTCTCCAGGGCGAAGGCGTCGCCGCACTCCAAGCACTTGTAGCCGCGGGCGGGCAGCGTGATGCCCGCCTGGGCGGGCGGGCTGAGGTTGGGCACGTACAGGGGCACGGGGTTGACGCTGCTCAGCACCTTGTTGAAGGCCTCCACCACGGAGCTCTGCAGCGAGGACACCACCTGCACCCGCGACACCTTCTTGGGCGGCTGGGCGGCGGCGGCGGCGGCCGCGGCGCTGATGATGGCCTGCTTGATCTGCTGCTGCTGCGGCTTGGCCAGCACCTGGCGCAGCTCGGAGGCGGCCTGGGCGCCCTGAGGCAGGAGGTTCAGGTTGGCGAGGTGCACGGTCTTTGGCACGAGCTTGGCGTTGGCCAGGCTGGAGGCGGGCACCACCACGGTCTGCTGCTGGATGGCGTTGGCCGCCTTGATGATGGCGCTGCTGGCGCTCTGCACCGAGGCGGCCGAGATGACCGTGGCCTTCACCGTCGTGTTGTTGGCCAGCTTCAGGTTGATGACCTGCGAGCCGGCCGTCTTCACGGCGGACACGGGCAGGAAGGCGGTGGCCACCGGCTTGATGGTGACCTGCTTGGGGGTCAGCTCGGCCGGCGCCACCGTGCCCGTGACCACGGCCGAGGGCAGCGGGGCCCGCGGCGGGGACGCCAGCACGGCGGGTGCATTCAGCAGCGATGTCACCGAGGCCACGACGGCGGCCGGTGGCTCGGGTGGCTTCTTGCCCGCCGGGTCCGGCTCCACGTCGGGCAGGACCCGCGTCACCGTCCTCTTGATCTCACCCGAGGACGTCTTGATGGTCTTGATGCGGACCTTGGGGATGGCGGGTGTGGAGCCAGCGGGAGAGGCGGGAGACCCCTTGCTGCTGCTCTCGCTGGAGATGCTGCGGGGGCTGTCGGGAGGCTTCGGGGGGCCCTTCCTGGGGCCGTCGATGAGGCTTGGCGCCTCGGGGGACTTCTCAGCGGCCCGGGGGCTCTCGTGGGCGTCCTTGGCCAGCGGGGAGGGCTCCTGGGGGCTGGCGGCCGGCTCCCTGCAGGAGTCGGATGCGGCCTTCTTGGCGCTCAGGGCAGCGATGGCAGCAATACAGGAGGACAGCTTGGAGGAGGGTTTGGCCCGCGGGGGAGGCGGGTTGGCGCCCGCCGCCCCCTCGCCCTTCTCCCCGCCCAGCTTGGCCTCGTGGGTCCGGGCTTCTGGGCCCTTCTCCGAGCCCTCCTTCAGCTTCTCCTCCGTCTTCCTGGCCTTGAAGGGCTCGTAGGTGGCCAGGCCGGCAGCCGTACCACTGCCAATGTCCGCCTCTCGCTTCACGGCTTTGCCCTTCTCGGCGCCACCCGCACTCGTGGTGCTGGTGGTGCTGGTGGCAGTGGCACCGGCGGTGGCAGTGCCGGCCTTGCCACCACTCTCTGTGCCCGGGGCCTTGAGCTTCTCGTAGTCCTGGTGGGGGGCAGCCCCCGGGAGCCCGTGAGACCGGAAGCCACCGCCGCCACCACCACCACCGCCACGCGCGTCCTCCTTGTCCGGGGGGTCGTCCACCTCGATCTTCTCGTCGTCGTCAAACTCCTCGGCGCTGGAGATGGGGCTGAACTGGCTGAAGGCCGCGTCCCGCAAGGTGCCCTCGGGCCCGTCCCCGGTCTTGGGCGCCTTGGAACCCTCCTTGGCGTAGCCGTCCAGGCCGGCGGCACTGAGGAAGCCGTTGTGCAGGCCGTTGCCAGCCGGCGGGTGGCCGTCCTTGTCGGCGCCCTCGGCCGCGTCCAGGCTGCGCACGTTCTTCACGATGACGCTGACGCCGCCGTCAGCCGCGGCGGGCGCGTGGGCGTCGTCCTCCGTGGGTGCGCTGGGCTTGATGTGGCCCTCGGGCTCGTCGTGCCCCGACTCGATGGCTGCCTTGGGGTCCACCATGTCCGGGATGTCGAAGGCCGCCAGGAGGTCGTCGAAGTCTGGGGTCTTCATATCTCCCATGGTCATCGAGGGGCCCGGGCGTCCTGTCAGAGGGGCAGAGGACAAGGCGTCAGCGCGTGGCACCCGGGGGCCCGGTGGGGGGAGGCCGGGCCTGGGGGCTGGAGTCCAGGTCAGCCAGCCGGGGCCTCTCAGACACCAGGGCGCTGGCCTGCGGACAGGGGGCTCGGCGTGAGGAGGAGGAACTATGGGTAGATGGGTCCATCTATGGGTAGATGGACCGTCCCCCTGCACAGACGGCAGGGAGTGCTTAGGAAAACGGGAGCTTGTCCTTCCAGATATTCACATGAAGGGGCAACTGCAGGAAGTCGGGGAGGCAAGTCAAAGGACAGGGCACAGGCACTGCCTGTGGGGACCCTTCCTAGCACGAGCGACTCCCCAGAAGACCATCAGATGTGGCCCTGAAAGCAGCAACTCCCCCCATAAGCCTTCCCTGCAGGTCAGCTCCTCCTCCTCTTCCCTGCGGCCCCCAGCTCACCCCAACTTCTCTCATGTGCGAGCATGCATGGGAGACCGGTTGGGACTCACCCCAGCTTACCAACCACATACACATGCGCGCACACACACGACACGCACACACACACACACACACACACACACACACACACACAGAGCACAGGTCCCATGCAGCCTGGGGTGTGGTCCAGGGAAGGGACAGAGAAGGGGGAGAGGGAGCAGGGAGGAGTTGAAAGGAGTCAGCAGGGGGGAACACGCCTCGGGGGAAGCCGCTCTCAGGGCAGGGGACACGGGGAGCGGGCAGGAGACAAGAGCACCAGAAGTCGGTGACAGCCGGCTGTGGGTTCCGCCCACACGCCCTGCCCAGCTGCCCGCTTCCCTGCCCCGACGAGGGGTGGGGGGCGCGTCTCCGGCACCCTTCAGGAGTGACTCCCTGCTGGATGCAGGGGCTGGTGGCCGCAGGTTGGGCAGGAACTGGGCTCCCCTCGGACTTCCCCCAGGGACGCTGACCACACACCGGGACAGAGGCCCCAGCAGAGGCAGGGCGGCCCCGCGCGTGAAGAGGCCACATGTCCATGGGCCGTGGTGCTGCCAACAAGGTCCCTGTCCTAAGAATAAAGGGGGTGACCCCTGTGTGCCGAGGCAGGATGTCCCCACAGCCATCCCCATGGGAACACCACATGGGGATGGCCAGTCCCAGCTGAGGACCCCCCCCCACCACCCCCGCCAGGGCCACCACTGGCCTCTGCCAGGGAGACACAACAGTGTTCCAGTCTCCCCACCCCCAAAGTCCAGGGGCCATGGGAGGCCTGGGGGCACAGCACCGGCCTCATGGTGCCACGCCCTGCATCACACGCCGCGGTGAAGCCAGGGCACCGCTGTTTGGGAGCCCTGGAGTCACAGCCATTCACCAGCAGGGCCACGTGGACGCTGGGAAGGACACACAGAGGTGGGGGGAGCTCACCGCTCGGAAAGCAGTCACCAAGGCGGGCCGGGGCAGCGGCACCCATGCTGCAGCCCAGCCTGCGGGCACAGAGCAGACGACCCCCGGGCCCTGCACAGCTAACAGGGGAGGCACTGGGAACAGCACCGGAAACCCCCTGGGCCGAGTTGGAGGGGTGGGAGAAAAGGCTTTCCCCTCCCTTCGCCCCGGCTGTGCAGGGCCCCAGCACTGTGGTCCAGTGGCTAAGGTGACGCCCAGAGAAAAAAGGACATGCTGACAATTCAGACACTGGCACCGGGACGCTCTTGCACCTGCACCAGACGTGAGCGGAAAAGCGAACAGCGGGACGCTCCGGACCTGGATGCTGAGTCGGGAGCCCAGCAGGCAGGGATGCGGGAACAGTGTCCTGCAGGACACTGCCCTGCAGGAAAGCAGTAGAGGGACCTTGTGACCGGCATGCCCACATGCCCCTCCACCACCTGGAACCCCTCAGAGGGACTCGTCTTAGCAAGCAGCGGAGGGGTGGGGGCAGGGGGCGGCCCCTCGAGGCCGAGGCCCGAGGGCAGCATGCAAGGACACGAGCACAGAGGCCTCATCTGAAACCTGAGCTGCCGGCGGCCACGGTGGCGGAGAGGCCCCACACGGCTCGCTGGCCCCGCACGGCTGTGCTGCTCCCCTGACGACCTTCACCGCCCGGCCCACCTTCTGGAAGGCAAGAGAATGTGTTCCCGCGGGGCGGGGAGTGGAGGACAAGTGATTTACTCCCACCTCACTGAGAGCAAGCAGAGGAGAGAGAGGTTTACGCTGGACAGCTTGCTACATCGTTCACCCCAACTGAAAATAAAATAAAATAAAGCATGACTGTCATCTCCATTACGAGACAATATTAAAAGACGGCATTTTAGCTTTCCGCGATGGCTTCATTTTTCCAGCAGGATCGGCTCTAGTTACTCTGGCAAATGATGCTTCTCATTTCATTTCTGCCCCATGAAATATGTCTCTCCTCTCAAAGGCACGAAGTCTCTCCATTTCGCACAGAAATGCCACAGAAATAACCTGGGATTCACTCACAGCACTGGTGCTGCAGGCAAAAAGAAAAAAGAAAAAAAAAAAAACCTTCTGCCCAAAGACATGGGAAATGGAGAGACAAAAAAGGAAACTGAGGCAGGGGGCGGGAGCGAAGATGGGAGGGAGCAACTGGGAAGCAGACGCTGGGGTGTGCTGGGATGTCTTACGCCTGAAATCTTACCACTAACTGGCGCCTCCGAACAAAATAAAATGCCACTAGGAAATCAAGGGGCCGGAACAAAAGCACAGCAGGTAGGGTGTTTGCCACCGACCCAGGTTATAACCCCAGCACCCAGGGGCTGGGGAGATAGCACAGCGGGTAGGGCGTTTGCCTTGCCGACCCAGGTTCAATCCCCAGCATCCCATATGGTCCCCAGAGCACCGCCAGGAGTCATTCCTGAGTGCAGAGCCAGGAGTAACCCCTGAGCATCTCCGGGTGAGACCCAAAATGAAAATAAACAAATAAATAAATAACCCTGGCACCCGAGAGGGTTCCCCCTGAGCACCACCAGGAGTGAATGCTGTGCACAGGGCCAGGGTAAGCCCTGAGCACTACTGGGTGCGCACACACACACACAAAATCAAAAGAGTATTAGGGCCGTGACGTGGCCGCCAGCACCCCCCTCCGGCCCAGCCGTCTCTTCTCCCAGCACAGGCAGAGACGCAGGAAGCACATTCATCCTGGAGGGCACCGACCGTGTTGGGACCGTGTTGGGAGAGAACCGAGTAAGGCCCTCTGCCTCTTTGAATGTCCCTCTGCTCTCTGGGAACTGCGGTTGACGGCTTCGAGGCCCAGAGCCCAGCCTTTGGCCCTGGCCCCACCCCCAACGCCCAGCAGCGGCAGCTGAGAACAGCCCCCAGCACTGACCGTGTGGCCCTCCCCACCCCCAACCACAGCAAACCTAACGTGAGGCCTTTCAGAACTTTCCAAAGGACGGCTCATGGCTCGGTTCCCACGGAGAGAGCCGGCTAGCTCGGCCAGCAAGTGCTGACCCCTGTGTCCCCAACAGCCTCCAGAGTGAACCAGCGGGCTCACCGAACCCCCGAAAGCAGACTCCTGCTCTCTTCCAGGGGAGAGCGCCTGACAGCTAGGGCGGGGGACCCCCATGACACTGCCCTGGTCATCAGAGTCTACCCTGCAGCCCAGATGCTGCCGGTCACCCCGCCGGCCATCCACGCCTCGCTGCGGAGACGTTCCAGCAGCTTCCGGCACTTGCTCCCTTTTCTCAAAGTCTCCTCCTCCTCTGAGCAGAAGAAGCTTCTGATGACACGTCGCTGCTGCGTTCCTTGTACTGCGTTCGGTGGAACCACGCCCCGGCCTCCAGGTGCTCCTCAGGGACCAGCAGGGAGGGTGCTTAAGGCTCTCCAGGCCCGCGCCCCATCCCTGCATGGCCCCTTCTCCATGGGCAGCCGCTCACTGCCTTTCATCTTCCAAATCACGGCCTTGTCCCCGGCTGGCCTCCACCCGCAGCCACCCCCCACCCCCGCCCCAGCCCTGGGAACGGTCTCTCGGGCACCGTCTTCCACAGAGCAGGAGGCTGGGGTGGGCCAGGCCTCCGCCACTGCTCGGCCGCCAGCTGGGAACGGATGTCGGCTGTGACCTCTCACAGAACAGGCCAGGCCCCGGGCCCTCTCCCAGGCGAGGAGGGATGAGGACACTGGGCCCCGGACCCCATGGGGCCCTGAGCTTCCTCACACCAACCCGAACGCGCATACACACACACACACACACACACACACGCAGACACACACACACACAACACGCACACACAGAGGCAGGAGCGGCTCCGGCAAGGGTGGCCTTGGGGGAAACTAACCGTCAACGGGGCTGGAGAGAGGAGGCCCTTCACGGCCACACCAGGATGGATGCCCAGCAGCACCCGCCGGGAGTGCTCCCTGAGCACAGAGCCAGGAGAAAGCCCTGAGCACCGCCGGGGGTGGGGCCCAGAACCAACCGAAACTTAAATGCATCAACGAGACACGGAGCTACCACGGCGTCTCCCAAGATCCAGCCGCAACTCTGAAGGCCCCACGCGCACACACACACACACGGCAAGCGTCCAGGGACAGCGCTGGCCTGTCCAGGGGCCAGTGACGGCCCCCGCAAGGCACCAGACACCAGCGGGCACAGCTGCTCTGACCCCGAGGGCCTCCCCAGCTCTGACGGTGCCCGCCAGCCCCACACAGAGGCCCTGGCTCGGGGCGTTTTTGGCTTCTCGGATGAATCACCTACTGTTCCTGTCTCCCAGCGTGGCCGAGGGGGGCAGGGAGAGACGGCTCCGAGGGCTGGGGCCCGAGTTCTGGGGGGTGAGGGAAGGGCAGGAGCCCCAAACTCCATCCCTGGCTCCTCATGGTCCCCCAAGGACTGCCAGGAACGGCTCCTGTGCTCCCAGCCTGCCCCCATGGCCCACACCCGGCCCGTCAGTCAACCCCCAAATAAAGGCCGTGCGAGGAACAAGTCCAAACAACCGTGCCTGGGAAGAGAAACCCGGAGCCGGCCCTGCCCTGCCCTCCTGGGCTCATGCCGCCTGCAGGCTGGCCACACTGAGGTGGCCCTGC